CTGAGGTTTTATATCGTTTGCCGCTCCAATTCCTTGGGATCAAGTTTTCCGTTCTCGTCACCCAACAATCGATTCATGTAACTATGCGATTCATTCGTTACACTGTGCATCACCAACTAGGGTTTATTGCAAAACTTTAGCACCTCACATATTTTCACTCACTGGTAAATGAATTTATTTTTCCTCTTATCAATCTAGCCCAAGAAAACACTCCAGCACCGGTTACCGAAAGTTCGCCGAATGTGCGTCTGGTAGTCATACGTCGATTCCGTATTCGCTGGCCTTGTAAGTTCTTTTTGCTCCCTCATGGTCCACCCTGTATATACCCTCCTCCTCCTCGGAATATGGTGTGTTCAAAACGGTTTGTTTGTTTGTTTTGTTCCATCCCCGTATGATTGGAAAAATTGTGTTGGTTTCATAGCATTTCACCGAAGTTTCTTACAGTGACCAGATCTGTTTGTTCACGATCCATTTTCGCGTAACATGCGAAAATGTGATTGTTGGTGGGCTTGAGAGTGGATTCTGCAAATTTGCTTTTGGATCAACGATGGAATTATGTGTTTTCGGGGGGAGGAGGCTTCCTGCAGCCGGGGTTTATCATCCGTGAATTTCTCTGCATATTGTTGGTATGAGTAAGCACAGTTTGCTTTTTGGATTTCACCTTATTCATCATCAACACAAGCTATTCACGCGCTCCGATGGTCCTAAGCTCTCACGCTACCATCTACTTGGAGGTTTCAATAGCTTCGATTTTGATTCTGTGCCAATTTCTGTCACAGTACGGTGTTCACGGGGTTTGAGTCACTGCCAGTGGGGTACACTACGCTGTCAGTTCACATGTTCGAGCCCTGCCACTGAGCTCACTGGGAACATATTTGGTAGATTAGGGAAAATCAACGCATCTCTCTCTCTTTCACACACGCAATCGGGTCCACACTACTCTTCAAACCAATGGTAGAAACCTTTTTGTAGGGTGAGGAAATCATACCATAGTTTCTTTGTGGGTGTACTGCGGTCATTGGTTTTCTTGGATATTCGCCACTGAGGCTTTTGTGTATGACTCAAGTGGCAGCAGTGTGGCCCACAAACACTACCGCTCGTTGAGTGTGAATATCTAATCCTACTCACTTTTCATCCAAATGGGCAATCAGAAGACAGCCACCAAAACTGGCGTACGAAGGTGCATGATTAATGATTGTATATAAACAACGGATCCAATTCGAGTTGTACGAGTTAAACAAATCCATCTCAATAACCCAGTTACAACACCGGCAGTTGACTTCTCGCTTTCTCATTCTCACCACTGAGAGGCATTGAAAAGAGCCTCTTCGCACAAGTGCTTTAAAGAACCTACCTTTTGAAAATATTTCCTGGGACAAGAACGACACTTTAATCTTTCTCTTAGATACACTCGATCTGGAGTTTGAGTGATATCGACAATGTTGACCGTGGCTTTTCAGGGATCATTAACAGGTCTAGCTGGTTGGTACGGTTTCCATCGAGTGTAAGTTTGACTTCATCATTGTTCACTTATGGTACTGTAGCTATGTCCAGTATAAATTTCTCACCTTTGAAGTGTGAACTGTTGTAAGAGGACTGGGTTGTTTCAGCTCTCAACCTCAGTATAGGTGGTGGAGTAATGAATAAACATTTATAGACTAAAAGTAAAATTAATAAAATCCTAGGTATCTACAATATACCTCATAATCTCACCACATGTCCCTGATACACTATACCCGTTGATTCCAAGTGGTGATCACGGCATGATTTGCATGAGCTTGGGTTAAACATTCATGTACCTGTGACTTTCCGGTGTTTGGACACTGGCAAATGAAAAGACGCTCAATTTGAATAAGTCCATTAATCCATTTAACCCCAAAAGAAAGGCGGAAAGGTTCAAGTTCTATGGTGGAGGTATCAACGTTATTAGGTGAATGACAGCCATTAATGCCAGTGTAGCCATGTTCGGCATGCGTTTTGCACCTTGAATCTATAAAATCTGCTCCAATATTGGTTTGGTCCAGCACCCAGCCTCACTCTAACTGGGGAAGTAAAAGGTAGCAAGTGGATAGGTTTTTTTATTTGAGCAGCTACATCTCACGCGGTGGACACATCGCGGATGAAATGTCAGCTCGCATACAGAAGGCTCGGTTGGCATTTGCTAACTTGAGACATGTGTGGTACCGTCGCGACATCCGGCTGTCTGTGAAGAGTCGAATGTATGCTACCGCAGTTCGGCTAGTTCTGCTGTACGGTACAAAAACTTGGCCATTAAGAAAGCAGGATAAAGTTAGGCTATCGGTGTTTGAATACCACTGTCTACGTCGCATTGCACGAATCTGGTGGGGCAGCCGGATGAGCAATGCTGAGGTTAGGTGCAGAGTTTGGGGTTACCGCGGTCGCCCACAGAAGCAAGTAGTCAACCTCCATAGATTACGCTGGCTGA